CTTAGGGTAACTATCGCTACAAGATTTCTCCAGTTTACTTGACTGGAATATGAGTAACTATCGCTACAAGATTTCTCCAATTTACTTCACTAGTCTACGGGTAACTATCGCTACAAGATTTCTCCAGTTTACTTGACTGGTCTATGGGTAACTATCGCTACAAGATTTCTCCAGTTTACTTGACTGGTCTATGGGTAACTATCGCTACAAGATTTCTCCAGTTTACTTCACTAGTCTATGGGTAACTATTGCTACAAGATTTCTCCAGTTTATTTGACTTGTCTATGGGTAACTATTGCTACAAGATTTCTCCAGTTTATTTGACTGGTCTATGGGTAACTATCGCTACAAGATTTCTCCAGTTTACTTGACTGGTATATGAGTAATTATTGCTACACGATTTCTCCAGTTTATTTGACTTGTCTATGGGTAACTATTGCTACAAGATTTCTCCAGTTTACTTGACTGGTATATGAGTAATTATTGCTACACGATTTCTCCAGTTTACTTGACTGGTCTATGGGTAACTATCACTACAAGATTTCTCCAGTTTACTTGACTGGTATATGAGTAATTATTGCTACACGATTTCTCCAGTTTACTAAAGCTAAAATACATATATATACCCTATACAGGTATAACATAAAAGTAAACAAACAAGAGCATCACAAAATTATGAATTTTAAAATAAAGTATGGATCCTGCTATGAAAAATAATGAAACAAGAATTAAATGTAAAATATATATATTTTATATACCCTATACAGGTATAACATAAAAGTAAACAAACAAGAGCATCACAAAATTATGAATTTTAAAATAAAGTATAAATCCTGCTATGAAAAATAATGAAACAGGAATTAAAACCACAATAATAAATTTTATAAATTTATTATTGTGGTTTTAATTCTTGTTTCATTACTTTTCATAGCAGGATCCATACTTCTTTTGTTTCAAAATAAACATCATTACTGAGGCTGAAAACAGGTTTTTCAAGTCTGTCGATTGTAACTCTGGGGCTGATTTTGAATTAAAATAATTCAGTTTTACCGTGAGGATTCTTAAGTCTGGTTACTGAAACCTGAGGATTTTGAAGCAAAAAAATTTCAGTTTTACTGCTCCTCCTAAAATTATATGCAAGTTTTTTTTGGTGTTTGAATATTTCTAATCAAATAAAAATTGATGAAAATTTTCATATCTAAATAAATTTAAAATTCTCTATTTTTAAAATTGTCAAATTTAATAAAACCAGCTTGATCTGAAAACTATCACTATCGATACAAAAATAAGTTTTTTTTTTATAAAATGTTCGTGAGTGAATCTGTTTCTACAAACGTCATTAAATTATAAAACTTCCATTTTTCTTATACGATGAGTATCCACCAAAATTTCAAAAAAGAGTTAAGTTTAAAGCAACTAGTATATACATTTTTAGAGTCTAACAAGATAATACATTTTACATCTTTATATAAAATGTTACTTTCCAGAAAATGTTGTTTAACAATACTTTCAGAATAAAACTTACAGAAGTTTTCTTCACCGAGTCCATCTAGCGAAGAGTCTGTCCCTTGTCCAACACCCATGTTTTTTTCTCCCTTCATAGCCTTTCAAAAAAATGTTTATCATCAGTGAAAATCAAAATGAACAGTTTGAAGTATTTATCCCATTCAATATGACTGGGACGTATATATTTCCCAGTGTACGTATACGTCCCAGCCTCAGAAAAAGGGTTAAGTTGAAATAAGAGTAATTTAGTATATTCCAGAAGTTTCCGAGATCTCTTGTAAACTAGATACTGTGTGATTTATACATTCCAATGTCAATGTAATACTTAGTAGTATTACTCTAACTAGTCAGACAAGATTTAATAGTGTTACTCTATCTAGTCAGACAAGACTTAGTAGTGTTACTCTAACTAGTCAGACAAGATTTAATAGTGTTACTCTGTCTAGTCAGACAAGACTTGTTAGCGTTACTCTAACTAGTCAGACAAGATTTAATAGTGTTACTCTGTCTAGTCAGACAAGACTTGTTAGTGTTACTCTAACTAGTCAGACAAGATTTAGTAGTGTTACTCTAACTAGTCAGACAAGATTTAATAGTGTTACTCTATCTAGTCAGACAAGACTTGGTAGTGTTAATCTAACTAGTCAGACAAGATTTAGTAGTGTTACTCTAACTAGTCAGACAAGATTTAATAGTGTTACTCTGTCTAGTCAGACAAGACTTAGTAGTGTTACTCTAACTAGTCAGTCTCGGATCAAAGAAAACATTAAAAATGTGAGCCACGTTTGTAACCTGAAGGAATAATTTATATACAGGGGAAATGCTTGTCTCAAGAACAATAATAAATGCTAAAGGTTAATAGACTGAATAAATCAAACGTGAATCAGTTCAGTAAATGAAAACTCAGTTGGTTTTCTTGCATCTTTGTTTCTCAGATCTCGGTTATTTATACAGTTCAGATTTTTAAAGTTAAACTATAATTTATCAGACTTTAATGCATTGTAATATACTGGAAAGTTTCTTTTTTTTTTTTCAAGAGAAAGCCATTAAGTGTGCTTTTGTTAAGAAAATGTAGAAAGTATGTATATTTATACGTACGATATAATTAAAGGAGCTTCACACCAAAAAAAATAGGAACATACACGAAAATTATATTATTTTATAGAAATCTTTCACAGCAAAGTAAGAATTTACAAAAACCATTTTACTTAATATACATGATTATCAACTACAACTTGTGCAACAACATAAAGTGATCATTTGTTTTTTATCTACTACAACTTGTGCAACAACATAAAGTGATCATTTGTTTTTATCTACTACAACTTGTGCAACAACATAAAGTGATCATTTGTTTTTTATCTACTACAACTTGTGCAACAACATAAAGTGATCATGTTTTTATCTACTACAACTTGTGCAACAACACTGAACAAAGTGATAATTTGTTTTTATCATGTATAGTTTGTGCAACAACATAAAGTGGTCATTTGTTTTTTTATCTACAACAACTTGTGCAACAACATAAAACAAAGTGATAATAATTTACTTGCTGTGACTTGTGTTTATGTTAACCTTATAATTTTGTTATTAACACAGAGAAATCTTTCAATAAGAGACCAAACATTACAGACATGCTACTCTTACCCTCTAACAATGTGTCCAGGGGCTACCTTGGAAACCCCCATAGGGACCCAGGAGCAGTGCCAGGTGGAAGGGGGTAATTTTTGGATATACTCAGAAAGAACTGTACCTACTTTAACTTTTATAACCTTCACCTTTATATCTAGTCAATCCCACTGAAATGTGTTTTGTTTTGATTCAACAACAGCTATTGTTAGGTTAGGTTGACTGGTTAGGTTAAACATTAGAGATGATAAAATAAACAAATTAGATACTGCTGTAAATCTGGGTCTAAATTGTGTTCTTTGTTATTTTTACATTAAGCAGAACTTGGTATTTTTAGGGGATATTTTTTTACAGTTTTGAAATTATAGTTTTTAATCTACACTTTTATAATCCTCTAAGATAAGCAGATTTATACAAAGTGAAAACAGACAAATCTGCAGAAAATCCTCATGCCTTAATTTACCTCGGATTAATTTTTACTATGAAAATACAAAAAAATATACAAAAATTCATCTAAATAATCGAAGCTATAGGTCAACTGACGACTTCCTTCTAAGAATGAGTAACACACACTTCTCTGTACTTCTGCAGATACAGTTTCAGAGGTTCAACATAGTTGTCAAACCCTAGAGTGGACATAGCAAAGAGGATGTCTTCTCCATTTATTGTTTTTCTCTTTTCCTGGTGACATCTTTCACTTGCTCTGCAAAAGTCAGTCAAGGAAAGGGAAATATTTCTTACACATCCACTTTAACAAGTTATGCTTATTAAAAACTGGAACACAGTTTGATGTTCTTCAATCAGTCCAAATTAAAACAAGCTACATCTACTATTAGAAAGCTGGGGATAGGATAGGAACATGTTAGAAAGCCAGGACCATCAAAGGCATGATCTGGCCAAAACATAAGGACCAGCACTAACTTATACATATATGCATAAAAATAACCCAAACCATCACCGGTCTCCAAACAGAAAACTAAAGAATGAAGAAAAAGGTTAAAAACTGTTCTTATACCAGTACCAACTTATGTAACTAGTACTATAAACCAGATTTGTAACCTTTTTTTTTAAGCAACAATAATTTAACATTTCAGTTTATGGTTAAAATATATTAAGTAAGATTTTAAAAACTATTAAATTACAACAAATTAAAATGCTAAATTTTCATCACACATTAAATTTTGACTGATAGAGTACCGTGAGAACATTCACAAGTTAAATGTAGTTCAAGAAATAATTCAACAAGTGATGTTGAAAGTAATAAAATACACAGACAACAAACACAGAGACTGAACCTGTCATTATACAACAAAAGCCATGGCCTTTATACTGATAGAGTACCGTGAGAACATTCACAAGTTAAATGTAGTTCAAGAAATAATTCAACAAGTGACGTTGAAAGTAATAAAATACACAGACAACAAACACAAAGACTGAACCTGTCATTATACAACAGAAGCCATGGCCTTTATAACATTAACTTAGCCATACTTTTTGACTGAGACAAAAAATACTCCTACTGAAATAACAATTGAATCCTGAGCTCATGTATTTTAAGTGTGAGTGAGTAATTAACATGCTTTAGTTTATGCCTGACTGACCACGGGACATACTTCACACACATATATACTATAATCTGGATTAGTACTTTTCTGTAAAAATACCTGCATTTGCTTAAAAACTATAAGAAAAATGTTACAAGCAAAAAAGTTAGTAAAAAATTAACTAATAAGGCACAGAAATTAGAATTGAAGCATAAAAATACTGGAATATGGATATGTGAGCTAAGCCTATAAGACAGCAGCTTGAAACTAGTATATATATCCAAACTCGACAAAAACTTTTTATTTTTAACTTTCAGAGACAAGTGCAGGGAAATTATCATTCAAGTAATATCTCAACCAATACTGTAGTGAATGCATATAGACGAACAAAATATATACAGCAGAAAGGATACTCGCTGGTTATGAAACTCACAAACTCTGAAACACATTCTTGGACACATTCTTTTGCATCTTTAGCTATCTGAAATTATAAATATACAATAACAACTTATTGGTATAATATAGTGAAATTATTCAAAATATAATTTAAAATTATCATTGTTGCACTTGATAATCAATGCTTTGGTTGTACAACTATAGGTTTATGTTTTTAAATAAAGAGTACAAAATAAAAGATACGGTCAGTTCTATGACGACCCTAGAGGACAGAACAAGCTAGAGGATTGGTATACACCTCTACCTTCTCACATGAAGTAACGATTAAGTTATCACTTTGAATATTATACAAATAAAACTGTACACCTCAACTCAAAAACTATGGACAGTGAACAACTGAAATTCACCTTTTCAAATTAGTACCATTCATGCACCCTACTTTACTTTTGTATGTAACCACATATAAAACTCCCAAAACACACTTCTGTATGTAACCAGAAGTGTGTTTTGGGAGTTTTATATGTGTATGTAACCACATATAAAACTCTCAAACACACTTCTGTATGTAACCACATATAAAACTCCCAAAACACACTTCTGTATGTAACCACATATAAAACTCCCAAAACACACTTCTGTATGTAGCCAGATATAAAACTCCCAAAACATACTTCTGTATGTAACCACATATAAAACTCCCAAACATACTCCTGTATGTAACCAGATATAAAACTCCCAAACACACTTCTGTATGTAACCACATATAAAACTCCCAAAACACACTTCTGTATGTAACCACATATAAAACTCCCAAAACACACTTCTGTATGTAACCACATATAAAACTCCCAAAACACACTTCTGTATGTAGCCAGATATAAAACTCC